AGCAAGAGTGTTTTCTGCTCTTCTTGTCATTGTTAATGAACAGTATCAAATACTTACCATTTGGAAGATAGGAAGGGTGGCTTGTCTTTTTCTTGGGGAAATCATGCTATACAGAATGTCCTGGACATCCTTTAAGAGTAGCTGGCCAAAGGCAGCTGCAAAGTAGCCCTTAACAGCCATAGAGGAAAAAGGCCTCAAATGTCTTCTGCACATGTCAAGTACCGATAATCTTTGACAAGGTGCCCAGAGAACTTGTGCACTACTCTCGCTCTTTCACATTTTGAAGGACTGACAGAGGCAGTGCTTAGGCTAATGTTACAATGTTTGCAATCCTTTAGTTGCTGCCTTCCACTAAATGATTCAAACTTACTGGAGTTTCACTTATTTGTTTGCTTTTTATTCTTCTCAATATATTAAAAGAAAACAAATAAAAATACCAATATAAAGTTTTATTGCAAAGGAAAAGTGTTTGCTTTGCATTTTTCTCTTAAATGTCTTTGCAAAGAAAACTGACTATATTGTGCTCTCAAATACTGTCAGTTGATTCATACAGGCAGGTAGAGTGGACCAGGTCATTATGTTCTGACACATCTCTAGTCAGCCACCCAGCATCTTGTGTATGGTTTTATCAGCTTTTGCCAGAACAGTTTGGAGAATCCATGTCTTCTGTGGGAGGCAGATAGTGCTGATTATTTGCCATATTTAGTTGACAGGTATGTAGATCAAACATAATTGTGTATATGGTCCCATGTCAATATAATGCTCTTGCAGAGCCAATGTTATGGACGAAAGCTTAAGTATAATTCAGTCACGTATACTAACATAGCTATCTCACATTGCACATTTTACAACCTTGTATATAGTACTATAATATAAAGGATTCTTTTAAATTTATTGATGCATATAAGAACTGGGCCAGCGGTGCAGAAGGCGAGAGGATTCACCAAGGAGAATAGGAAGCAGAACAGCAGACTCACAGAAATAAACTGCTGAGGGGATCAGTGGGTGATACAAGAGACATGTGCCACATCATATGTAGGCCAGCTCCTTACAAGAGATTGAACCTATGCCATCACAGTAACAGTGCTGAGACTTAAGTACTACGCTACCTGGGAGGCCCCTATATTGTTATAATGTAAATATTACTGGGGAGATCAAAGACATATCCCTCTATCTTATATATGCAGATGGCATTTTAATCAATACTGTATTCTTAGTGTTTTTTTAATGTTTTAATATTTTATTTCAAGAAAAATTATACCATGAGGTAATGTGTTATTCTTTTATCTTTATAGGGAGTTCTCGTTCTTCTGAACCAGCCAATCAAAGTTTTGAGAGCTACATTAAGATAAATTCACAGAATTACAGGTAATCAAAAAAAAAGTTTCACCAAGGTAAAACAAAATAGGCTCAAGTCATAAAGAGTTTTAATATATTCTGAACTGTTGTAAAATCTTACCAGTTAGACATAGCAAAAAATTAAGAATTCACTTTTCTGAATAAGTGAGAAATGACAAAAAGGCTTATTAATTTATCATTCAATCAGTATTTTAAGTAGTTAGATCCACTTCTGTAGTGTTGTGTTTAACATGTATTTGTCATAGCTGTTAAATAATTTCCACATCTAAGGTCTTGGTGTGATAGATCATAAAGGTAACTATTAGCCATTTTTAATATTTGAACAGAGATGCAGATGTTAAATAATTTCCAAAGTCACAATATTAAAAAATGGTAGTTCTAGGCTTGAATTTAATCTCCTGGCATTATACCACTCTATTATTTATTTTCTTATGTTTTAGAATTTATCTATGGTAATTTTCCAAGAGTCTAAAACTTTCTTAGGCTGTTGATGCTGTTACCTCCATTCACACTGTCAAACCAGCTAACTCAAACATCATGAACAGAAGGCCTTGTAACCAAATCAAGATGTTCAACTCATACCACTAAACCAATGTAAAAGACAGAATGAAGAGAGGAAAGATACTAGAGAAGGGAGAACCTTAGAATAGCACATAAATGACCAAAAGTTCCACAAGAGCTGAGTTCTAGTTATACTAATATTCACATGTCCCTTTTCTCTCTGGCTGTTGTATCTACCTCCCTGGCTGACAGTGTGGTTATGAAGATCATAGTGGAGGCTTAAGTAAGGGCATCCATTCTGATTGGAAGCTCCCAATCTTACTCACTTGCTCCCTCGGAGATATAGAATATAATACACCTGTTCGCATCCAGATGCCTGCAAGTTATATCTGAGTTTCCTAGGCAGAGCAAAGCCAAGAAAGTCAGCATAACTGTAGCCCACAGGAGGTGTGCTAAGGACTTAGATTCCCTTTCCTTTCTATCTAGGAGTAATACTTTTATTTGTTCCGTCATATTTCCTATTGAATCAATCTGTCAATTTCTTGTTGAATCAATCTGTGGCGTTCTTTATAGGATACTGACTCGTTTACTTTCCATTATATATACCTATATATGCTGTGTCTCCCAGTCTATCACTAACACAGTTTCATTGTTACCTCATACATTATTAGCTTGCCTAACGTCTACTCTGAGCTTCATGAGTTTCAGCCATCCTGTTTGTTATCTTGTTTTCTGTAGCAGAACCGAATAGCCTCATATAAGCTGAAAAGCCAGGCCTTCTCTTCCTGTTAACTATATCAGTCCTCTGAGGCCTACAGTGACTCTTGGGACTGGTAATTACCCAGGCTTTTCTCTAGGAGAAGTGTCACACTCCAAATAAAACTCACTGTGCTCCAAATCTTCATTCTCTCTAGTATTTCTGTAGTAAAATAAGGAGAAGGTAAGAAAGTAGGTGTCAACATAAGATGACCTGAATTTCAATCCTGCTTTTGCCATTGTGTTAACAGTATGACAAGTTATTGTAGTGAAGTAACTATGGACAAATTATTTCACTACTTGGCAACCCCTCCCTAAAATAAGGATAAGGTCTAAAAAATTCACTGTGAAAAATTCACTTTATAATAAATTCGAGCTATTTAAAATAGTGGACCCATAGCCAGAATTCAGTGAGTACTTTCAGGGAATGTTAGCAAAAAGAGGAAAATGATTTCCTCCCTTGGTAGGGAGAGCACCATACACTGACAAACTAAGCAATATGTGTTAGGAACTTACCTTCCTCTTCTAATGAAAAACTAAGCCTCTTTTTCCTCAGAAGTTAGGTGGAAAGAATAAGCTGCTAGGATTTTGGTTAAAAGAGGAAATACTAGAAAAACACTAGTGGATGTGAGTGAGTGTAACTCTTGTATTCCCTGGATATGTTTGGTAAGTCATCACACGAGGTTGCTGTTGGCCATCAGAATTGTGTATGGTTCATAATGTTACACTTTACTGGTAATAAATTATTCCTCTGTCATTTGTTACCTTATAGAGGAGGAATAGATAATCATGTCCTAGAAGACATATAGAGAGAAAAGTAGTGCACAAGTACTTACCTAGCCTTTCCCTGGTTTTTCTGGGAAATTGATTTCTTGTGCTCCTTACTGCCAATTTTACTTGTTGTTATTAGTGAATAATTCTGTTATTTATTTTTTTTTAGTACTTTGTTCTAACAAAGTACCACAAACTATTGTCTCACAGTTCCAGAAGTTAGAAGTCCAAGATCAAAGCGACAAGGGTTAGGTTGCTTCCATGGGTGATGAGGAAGAGTCTATCCCATATCCATCCTAGCTCCTCATGGTCTGTTGGTGGCCTTTGATATCCCTTGGCCTATAGACTCACCCATATCTCTGCTTTCATCTTCATGTGTGTCTGTCTCCAAAGGTCCTGTCTTAGGAACACCAGTCTTACCAGATGAGGGGCCATTCCTACCTAAATGCGACCTCCTCTTACTAATTACATCTGCAACAGCTCTATTTTCGAAAAGGTCATCTTTTGAGCTATTAGGTGGGGACACAATTCAACTTGTAACCTCTCCTCCTTTATATTTGATTCCTCCTCACAGATAACTGTACATGCCCTGAAATTCACATAAAGTAGAGATTTATAAAATCTCCATCTGTTTTTAGTGGTGTCTTCCCCATACTGCAACCTCATTGTACCTTTTGTCCCCTGACTATCATTTACTCCACATACATGTTCTTGTCTCCCTGCAACTGTCTCGTAATAAGGCTGTTATATTTTTCCTGTCCTATCACTGAAAAATCTTTTCTCCTCCACATCCTACTTCCCATTCTCTTCTGAACCATGTTACTGATTAAGAATTCAGTGATTTCTTGCTTATCCAGTTTACTGAAATATAACAGATACCTGTCTACTGCTTTCCTTAATGAAACTCCCTCATCCACTGGTCTCTTCATCACTTATAAATGATCTGTACACTTATCCATTTGACTTGATTCCTGTGGTTCTCCGACCATCGTCTTTGCCTCTTCCTGGCTGTGTTAATTTCACTCCCCTCACCGCCTCCAAACTAGACTTTCTATTCAAAGGATCAATAGTACCACACTAAAATTTTGGTGAGCTGAACAAGTAGGCTAATGACAACTCCCATGGGTCTACCCATTATTTGTAACAGAAATTGATTGAACATCTCCATAGAAACAGAGAATACACTTGTAAAAGAAAGTAAGCAAATTTTAAATTGGGGACTTTTATACTCTTAATGTACAGGAGTCAGCAAATGTTTGTTCAATTTAACATTAGCAGTTCACTTACAAATAATTTGTATAAGCAGTACAGATACCTTCAAAAGTGAGGACTTTTTCTAAATTTCACGTTTTATATCTGTACAGGACTAAATGTAACCTGGGTGATTATTAACGCATGCTTTACTCTCTTCATATCTAGCTGTTCTATGTAATATTGTTTCATATTTTCCTATCAAAAAGCCAAATGTGACTCTTAAGTGTTGAGATTTCAATATGTGATAATATTATCTATATAGTTAATTATGTATGTTTAAAGTAAACTAATATTAACTTCTCTCTTGGAGAAGTTCATCTTTTTTTAAATACAAAAGGTTGTGTTGTTTAAGAGCATCCATGCCTATGAATTTTAACTTTATATTGCTTCTTCTTTTACCTCCCCAAAGAAATGATGAAGTTGTGGGCAGGCCTTCCTTTCCCATGCACTTCTTTCCACTTAACAACACAGCATTGCCTCCAGATTACTTCTCCTTGCAGAAGATGGTAAGTTTGATATGCCTTTGGGTCAACTTATAATAGCATACAAACTATGAAGAATATAAAAGTGGCTTGGCATTCAAATGTAAACCTGGATAGAGGCAGAAGCTGCCCTGAGCACAGTCCCCCAGGGAACATCTGCTCTAGCCTTGTCCTCTTGGAAACCTCAAAATGACCTCAGCAAACAGCCAGTGGTCAGTGGAAGTGGACAGATGGGGGTGAAGAGATGCCGTGGTCCAAGTAAAAGTGGAGTAGAGGGCTCTCATTGGAATGGGTATTTTGAAAGGGTTCTTTAGAATTGAATGATCTAGAATGGGTAAGTATGTCTTGATTAAAGGGGAGTTTAAGATAACTTCTCCCTCCAACTCCTCATCTTATACCTACCAAAGTTGGGATCAGGAATCTTAATCACCATAAACAGCTTGCTAGTGATGGAGGTAGGACTATAATTGAGATATTCTAATTCACAGGGTATCATTTTTACAAACATCCAATGAACGTATAAGCTTCAGATTTTTCAAATAAGCATCATTTTGTAAACATAAGTAAATTGATAATTTAAGCTTTTGGAAAAATCTTTTCTTAGTTGTCATGAGATTTGAGGAAACAACCATTTCTGAGGTGAAACTGTCAGTATCTTCCTAGCATTTTTTAACATTAAGAGAAGTTGGAAACACACATACACATACACACACCCCACAAGCTCATGTTATCACTGTTAATCTTTAACCTACTTTGACTAGCTAAATGTTTGAGTTAAAAGCAAGTTTAAAGACAGGGAAGTGTCCATCTTATTTAACAACTGCTGTACACTGTGGTTACTGTAAAGCCACATGTGGGCTTAAAGAGCAGAGTTTTTCATTTTTAATTTTAATTTAAAAACAGGTTCTTGTTTCAGTTATTAAAAATGTTTTCAGTATACTGGAAAAATTTAGGTGTGTGAATCTACATTTTCAACTGTAAATTTTATGTCATCTAAATGCAAATCAGCTATCTTCAGTGGAAACCTAGCTTCCAAATTGAGATTTACTATAAGTATAAAATATGTACCAGATTTTAAAGTTAGCAATATTTTTTTAATAAAGCAAAATATCTGATTGGCTACATGTTGAAATAACTACAATATTTTGTATAAATAAAATACTGAATTTATTTACACTTCATTTTTAATGTTCACATTATAGCTACTAGATTTAAAACTGCATAGGCCACTTGCATTTAATTTCTATAAGAATACTAATCTGTATTATTGCCAACTATACATGACCTTGAATATTCACACTAGCCATGTAAAGAAACTACCACGTCCCCACTGTGAAGTCACTGTTCCTCTTTTATTAACACATGGATGACTTTGATATAATTACTTCTATATACATGTAAACTATTGATTAGAAATAAATGTTCTGGGCTTCTTTTAGTAAACGCATGCCTTTCTTTTCCCGTAGTGGCACACATTCAGTCCTGCACTCCAGCTGCCTTACTATGAGCTGACAGCACCACTTCCTGCTAGCACATCTGTGACCCCTTCACTAAATCCCATTCAAGATCGAGAGGCTGGACCCAGTTCTTATGAGTGGACTTGCCCACAACCAAGTGACCCTGACCTGTATCAGGCGAACAAACGAAAGAGGCAAAACCAAAACAGTGATAGTGATAGTAGTGCAGAAAACAACAGAGGAAACAAATATAACCAGAAGTACCAAAAGTGTAAGAAGAAGAAAAGATATTAGTATAACATTCAAGTCAAATTTATCTACACTAAACTGATTTCTCTTAAAAGAAAAAAAAAAGTGTATTCTACTAATTTCAATTTCATGGTTTTCTGGTCTTTCTTGAACTACATCATGATAGGACATGTGATTTACTTTTCAATTTTTGTCTTGAGTGACAAAAACATAAAAATTAGTAGATTTGTAATGGTAATGAAGCTTTTGACCTATGGTCAACAGAAAATAGACCGTGAATTATTCTGTTTAAATACTATTGATGTACTAAACTATCAATGAAAAGTCACTTACTGAGCACTTAGGAATAAGTCACCATGCTCTCCCAGATTTTCATCTGAAGCCCTCAGTTGTGATTAGAATGTAGTAGATTTTCTGAAAGAAACCAGTGCAAGTGTTTAAGAATTACTTGTTCCTAATGATGATGGAACAGGCAGGCTTTAGTTTCTTTTGTTAATGAGATTTTTTGATGTCAAAATATGTTTCTGAGCCTTACTATCCTACAGATAATATTTTACAAAATACAGATAGATGACTGTGACACCAAAGGAAAGTTGCTTATCACTGCACCAGTTTTTTAGATTATTGCCTTTCATATGACTATATATGAGTACAAATAACAGATCTTTATCCTTATTTATTATTTGTATTTTATGAAAATGAATTGGTTATGTTCATGTTTATTATCCATCTCTTTTTTCAGCTGGGTTTTGAGGGTATACTTGACATTCATATCTTGATAATGAACAATAGAAATATTTATTCATTATATACAAAATACTACTATATTTTGTGTATCATATGTTTGTTATATACTGGATTTGAAAGAGTATATTTGACATTCAAATCTTGGTAATGAACACACTAAATGTCTTCATTATATACAAAAATATTTTGTTAATGTATGGTGTAATATTTATCATCAAATCAAGTTTCTATTTCTGGTTATTTTTAGAAGGTAAATAGACTATATGGTTTATTTGTACATTTTTGTAATTTTGTAATTCATCGTAAACTAGAATGATGAAAATATTTATGAAAACTAATTAAAAGCATCCTGCTGCTTCATTGGGAATTAGCCATCCAGTTCACTAGGAAAAGCCTTGCTTGGAGATTAATTTTGCATGTTGCTTAGCACTTTATAGGTCTTTATTAATGTAATAAAGATTTTTTTTGAAAAGCGAGTAACTTATAGTCATAAACATAAATGCAGTAGAGTTTCATTTTGTAAGTTTTTTCTATAACTTTTTTTAGTATATTAACATTGGTTTAGAATACTGTATATAATTTAAAGAAATAATTTCATTGGTAAATATTAACTATTTCAATCTGATCCATATGAAAAAACTAAATTATGCTTAATTTGGTCTGATTTTCATATTCCTGAACATTCAAACTAAAGAAGATAACTTTTTATCTTTGAAAATTCACATTTTTGGACTTTTGAATCATGCCAAAGGGATAAATATATTTCTGTATAAATAGAATTTGATATAGATTTAAAAACATTTACTTCACTTCATCCTTTCTTTAACATACTTGACAGTTTTACCTAATCACCGATTATTTCACTGTTTTGTGAGCAACCTCAGGTGTTTCACCTGAGGTTCAAATATGAGCAAAACAACCTGGGGGCTGAGGACTCAGAAATCAATGATGCTGAAGGAACTTTCAGTCTACATAGAAGTGAAACTGACCAGAGTCTTACCTAGCCCAGATGTCAGAGGCCAGTGTCTATCTTGAGAACACAGAACTAGTCATATATATTAAGATTTATTTATTTATGCATAAATAACTGGGGTACAAGCCAGAGGTACAGGGGCTGTGAGAGGATTCACCAGAGACAGAGTGGGGATCAGAACAGGCAGATTTATGAAGTACACTGCTGAGGGGAGCAGTGGATGAGACAGGAGAGGTCTGAAGGAGCCATGTGAGCCCAACACTCCTGGCCAGGAATCCAACTAGTGCTGAAAAAGCTACTGCTAGCTTCATAGTACTATGTTTTAACCCATTGCACCACCACGGAGTGGTGCTATCCATATTCTTTAAGCTACAGTAGGCTAGCAAGACCAGGAAGTCTGGGTCTAGGAGGGGCAGATGCATCTCAGGGGCACTGAAAATAGCTGAAAGCACCCTCAAGACAAGTTCTTGTCTTCAGTTTTCTAGCAATCTCTCAGACTGAATTCTCTCTAGGGAACATGCACTTGCCCAGCCTCAATGGGTTTGGGAACCACTGGAAACCCTTGGAGGGAGGACTGGGCGCCTCTCCCATTGCCAGAGTATTCTGGTGTGACAATGTGTCAGGTCTTCCTACCCTTGTGGCTGTCTCTCCCTGTGAAGAGTATATTTACCTTTGGATCTTAACTGCATGTTGAGAGGAAGGGGCCTCGACGGGAGACTTTCAGACTATACATAGAGGAGGAGGGATCTAGCTGAACCCAAACTTCCAGCAATCTCTCTTACTGCCAGACATGTTAATGAATCACTTCAGACTTCTGAATCAACCCATTAATTAAATACCACCAAATGACCCCAGCCAACACTGGAAAGAGCAAAAGGAATTTCACAGCTGAACCTTGCCTAGATTTCTGACCCATAGAATCCTGAGATACAATATTTCAATGTGTGACTTAAAAAAAAAAATATATATATATATATATATATATTTATGCATAGAAAAATGGGTGTAGGACAGAAGTACAGAGGGTGAGAGGACTCAAGAGACAGAATAGGGAGCAGAACAGGCAGAACTACTGAAATACACTGCTGAGGGGAGCATCGAGTGGGACAGAAATCTGCTGCACCATGTGGGTCAGCTTCCTGGCCAGGATCGAACTCATGCCACAGTAGCTGGGGATAACATAATAGTGCAGAGACTTTAACCTCTGTGCTACGTGGCAGACCCTCAGTGTGAGACTTAGCAGACTGCAGGTTCTGGGTTGCAGGAAAAGGATTGGGTATCATTTTAAAATGGAAAAGGGAAAGCATTGCCCTCCCCCTTAATTTTTCCATTTTTCCTAGGAGTAAGCTGTTCTCAAGGTGTAGGTATTCGTTGTACCACATTCATAAATTTTATCAGCACCATCCTTATTGAGCTAGGAAAAATAATGAATTGAGTTCAAAGTTGGGAGCTATTTCAATCTCATACTGAACTACATCTTCCCCCCCAAACTTTATTGTTAACAATCATTGTTATGGCCTCTGCTACTTCTTTGTTGTCTGATATCTTCGAAATCCAGGTGGAGATTGGAAGGTGGGGGATATTTCTTCCTCCCTCTTGAAAATATTTCTGCCAAGCTCAACTTCAGAATTTTAATGCAGTCAGATTGGTTTTATTTGCTTTTAATAGCAGTGAAATGAAAAGAACTTTTTCTTGTCACATTCCATTAACCAATGGAAATAACATTCCATATGCTCACTGAACAATTTAAATGCATTTCTGCAAGTCAACCTGCCTTTAATCTTTTTGCAATATATCTGTTAACAGAAGTTTATATCTACATGGCTCCATCTCCCTCCTTGTAGTTAGAGAGTGAATAAAATTACAGAGCTTTAATCCTTGGAGTTCATCTGTAAATTTTTTACTGCTCATTTAATTTTAGCCATAAAAATATCCCATTTAATCATATGCTATATCCATAAACAGATATGCAAAAAACCTGGTTTTCAGAAGTACAGGGAAACAACATGCATTATAGCTCTTCTAAGAATTTGCATATTTTACTTATTGTTGGCTTCTGGTTTCATCTCTGAGCTGGCCATCTGTGTAACTACCTCTGGAACTTCTTCCCTCATACCTTCATTTCACCTGCCTCAAGCAATATAACAAAAAAAAAAAAAAAAATTCAAACCCAGTTTAATCTTCTCAGGTCAAGTAAAGCTTACAAAAGTGCTGTTTATCTCACCAAAAGCTGTCATTTCCTTACATTTCATTCAGGGTGATAAAATAGTCTCTTCCCAACTTCTTTCTAAACCTAGCCTGTTTATTAGAGTGATTATACCACAGAGTCAGTCTTTCTAACTCCAATCATCTGGGTAGTACTGGGCTCCCTATTATTTCCTGAAACAAATAAGAATCTAGGTATAAGAAGGATAGAATAGAAAATATTCTTATAAGTAGAAATGTGAGATTTATAGCTGTTTTATGCTTAAGTGCAAGCTCTAAACCCTTCAGTGGACAGGATTACTTTGGGATTCATCCAAAGACACAATAGTGTACTTTATGTCCGCATGTCCCTCCTGGTGATTTCAGTAGGCATCAAGGAGGACTCCTTATCTCTGTGACCTTTCTGCAAGGTCTTCAGTGCTTTCTGTCTCACTGCCTCCAGGCCTCCTACTCACACCTTCTCCCTCACTGTCTCCCTTGAGCACATTAAGGTCATTTTTATTATGATGGTTATCTTGATGTGCATCACTTGCTATGTCAAGTACATAAAGTCATCCCTCCTCTCAGACATAGGCATGGTACAGTGTACCAACATCCTTTTTCTTATCCGTATCTCATCCCTTCCCAATTCCTGACCTCCTTACTGTGCTTTTAAAACTTAGTTGTATAGGGCCTCCCTGGTGGCCTAGGAGTTAAAATTTCAGCGCTATGACCACCATGTCAGTTTAAGTGGCCTTCTTGGATATAACTCCTCATGCACTTTCAATGTCATCATCTCTGTTTCTGCTGAAATTCTCATTGATTTCAATATAGATTTAGCTGATCTGTCAAAGCAGGAAGTGCTTCAGTCCCCTGAACTCTTTCCTAAAGACCTACACCTTTATCTAACTTCATCTTCTCAACTCCATGATCAACTCCATATCTTAGATGTTGGTTCACTAACAAAACAGTGCAAATTCCCCGTTTCAGCTTCATGAAACCCACTTTTTTTTTTTTTTAATTTATTTATGCTTACAGAACTGGGGTATAGGCCAGAGGTGTGGTGGGTGAGAGGATTCACCAGAGGCAGAGTAGGGAACAGAACAGGCAGATTTATTAAAATACACTGCTGAGGGGAGCAGTGGGCAGGCAGGAGAGGTCTGCCACACCATATGGGTCAACTCCCTGACTGGGGAGCAAACTCGTGCTTCAGTGGCTTCTAAGAGCTTCATAGTGCGATGCTTTAGCCCGTTGTACCACCAGAGTGAGCCCGAAACTCACTTTTTAACACACCTATTGATATAGGTGTAAATACAAGATAGAAATGATTACAACTGGCATGACCACATTTCAATCTTTAGCTAATGCAAACTAGAAAAACATGTTTCATAAAATCTCTATACTTACTCTGCCGCAAGGAATAGTCAGTAATTTTTCACTATTGCAGATAATACTCCTAGCAATCTTTGTCAAAACTGCTGTTTACTGGGCCCTGGTGAGCACGTTAAAGCTCAGCATTATGAAGCTGTCCCACAGCCACTGCAGCAGGGAGGTGACCCACATGGCACAGCAGGCCTGTCCTGACCTTCCCACTTCCCCCCTCAGCAGTATATTTCAGTACATCTGCCTGTTCTGCTCCCCACTCTGTCTGGTGAATCCTCTCATCCCCCGCACCTCTGGCTTGTACTCAGTTTTTGTATGTATAAACAAATCTTTTTAAAAACCTTGCTATTTACTAATTAATTATTTAATAACATTTCTGGGAGTTAATAGACAGACAGGGTGATTTCTCTCAATACAGCTAATACCTTGGTTGAAAGTGTACAGCTTACTCAGAAGCACTCTGATGAGGATTGAAAGATAGGAGACTTATTTTTCTTCTATAATTCTGGAATCTTTTGAGTCTCCAAACAAGATCCAGACAAAAAAAGGAAAACAAAGCAAATAAGTAGAGGAAAATATATAAAGAGATATCTATAATAATATATATTAGTATATCTGATATATTATATATATAAATAGCTACATATATACATATATATATACTCATGCATCTATCTATATATAAAAATAGCTACATATATGCATATATATATATACTTATACATCTATCTATATTGATATCTATCTCTAGCTCTCAAGATGTATAAAGATTGATTTGGTTTTCAAATTTTCACAAAGAAAGTGTAAACTATTGATACTTTCATTTGTTTTATACTGAGAAAAGCCCAATTAATTTGATCATAGACACAATTTAAGAAGAACGAGTAAACATCTAATAAAAATCACATTAGTTCTGATGATTTCTTTTAA